TAAATTTAAATTTTAATGAGCTCCTGTATAGTTTTCTGTATTCACCTGTTTTAACATTTATGCTGATATGGCTACACACACATTTGTACTGACTCATAGAAGAGTAAATAGTATGGGCTCAGCACGATGGCTCAGTTGACTATCCTTCCCTTGCAAGTACTGGGATCCCACATGGATGGCGATTTGTGTCCCTGCTGCTCCACTTCCCATCCAGCTTCCTGATTATGGCCTGGGAAAGCAGTGGATGATGGTCCAAAGCCTTGCACCCACATAGGAGATCTGGAAGAAACTCTTGGCTAGGGATTGATTTAGCTGCAGCTGTTTGCAGCCATTTGGGGAGTGACCCAGTAATGAAAGATCTTTCTGTCTCTCCTTTGTAAATCTGCCTTTACAATAAAATTAAATAAATCTTTAAAAAAAGCAGTAAATATTAATACCCTTTAACTGTAAATATTTCTGCATATACTTAAAGATGTTCTGTTAAGTATATTCATATTATAATTACCAATTCAGAAAATTTAACTTTGCTACATTTAGTATTGAAATTTCACCAATGTCTACAATCACTTTACAGTGATTTTTATCTTTTTACTAGGAAGAGTTCAGAGTATGATTATCATTACAATGAGATGTTTGTTTAGTCTGTTTTAATTAGAAGCAATTCTTCAGGCTTTATTTTTTATGCTAGTGATGTATCTTGAAGTATGTCATCCCATGACCTGTTTATACACTCTTCTCAATTCAAATTTTTCTGATTCTTTCCTCATTATTATGTGCAAGTTATTCAACTTTGGCAAGCATGTGGTTATAAGTTATGCTGTGTTTATTCTCAGCATATCGTACAAGGAGGCACATAATGTCCATTATGGTGATAGTCTGCTGATCATATTAGCTGCTTCTCTCAGTAACCTTTTGGTGAAGAAGGAACAATGGAAAGTGAACATTTGGCTGCCATGTGTTCGTTGTTGTTGAAGGGTACTTGTGTGTTCTTGCTTTTGATGTCTTGTGGTATGGGTGTGTGTGTGTATATATATCTATGTAGATATGTGATTGTCTTTGGAGTTAGAAACTCTTCAGGATTGATTGTGTGTTTGTGTAGAATTTTAAATTACTGACTCAGCTTAGCTTTTTTTTTTTTGCCAGGTGATATTTTCAGTTTTTAAACAGTTTAGTCACTCTTTTGAGGAATTTGTTTGCTTATAACTTTGAAATCTGTTGATATGTGTTGTTAATGATATTTTCTTACAAGGTGATCAAACAGTGGCATTTGCAGTTCTATTCAGTTTCTAAATCTCAATATTGTTTTTATTTATACACCTTCTAAAGTCAGCTTAATAGTCCATTTTAAGAGAATGAGAAAAAGTTATCCATGGAATTGTAGTTATTAGCAGTCTTAACACTTATATATGGGAATTCTGTTGTTCACATTCCTGCTGATTCTTGGTTTCAGATTTTTGAATTTTGACCTATTTTGCTGATAAATAACAGTCTGCTTTTGTTAATTTGCATTTATCTGAGTTCTTGTAATGTAAACATGAGATTTCTTTTTCGTAGCAATGTACAGTTTTAAATGGAGGGTATAACATTTATTGCATAATTTGTAGCCTGTTTTATTCATTTCTATATGTCCGTTATCTTGTAAAATGCTTCTCATGCAGTGGATATTTAAAGAATTTAATTGAATAAATTATTAGTAAACTGATCTTTCTGAATAAGTTTGTGATGTAACAAGCTGATACTTTATTCTGGTGAGAGGGGAACAGATAGAATCACATTGAGCGAAAATGCACTCATCTGCTGGTTGCTGTCTAGGTACTGATATCCACAGAGTCCAACTGGGAGCCAAAATCTGAATTCAGGTCTTACACTTGTGTAGCAGAAAGCCATCCATTCTCTGTGTCTTCATTTGCAGGACGATGGAGTCCTCAGTTGAAGTTGGATGTTGAACTCAGGGACTTGAATGTGGAATGTTGGCGCCCCAGTTCACATCTTAACCAGTAGACTTATTCACACCACCACCAACTCATTTTTGAATGCCTGAAAATAGAAGAGTTTTGCAATGTTGAAGTGATGGAATTTTTGTTCTAGCAGGTTTCAGGAAGTGAAGAATAGATAGGTGTATTATTTTAATTTATATTTGCACCATGGGTATCCATAAAACTTGTATGTCTAACAGTTTAATTCTAATTGTGTGACTTTGTAATGTGACTCTATGGAAATATGGTATTTATTATTCAACACTGGCATTTTTTCTAAGTTTGTTAACAGATCACTTTAATGATTATGTGTTCACCTGAGTTGTGTTTATACTTTCTTTCCTGTTTGCAATAGTGTTTTAGAGGGTTGAAATATTTAACTTTTTGGCCTTTTAGATAAGAGGAGTGTTTCTCAGAAGGGAAGGTTCTATTACATTTCAAATATTTGTAGTTGTCTGTGATGAAATCGTTTTTATCTTTAGTATCAGTAAGAAGACAGATATAATATGCATTATTTGGGTGGCAGGTTATTTGAAAACTTTGAAAGAGGGAAGGTAAAATGAAGTAGAAGCTATACTTGAAGAAGGGCTTACTGTTATGTTGTAGGCTTTTATTTATTAATTTTTTAAAAGATTTATTTTTATTTTTATAATAAAATCAGATACACAGAGAGAAGGAGAGACAGAGAGGAAGATCTTCCATCCAGTGATTCACTTACTCCCCAAGTGACCACAACAGCCCGTACTGTGCCAATCTGAAGTCAGGAGTCAGGAACTTCCTCCAGGTTTCCCACATGGGTACAGGATCCCAAGGCTTTGGGCCGTCCTCAACTGCTTTTCCAGGCCACAAGCAGGGAGCTGGATGGAAAGTGGGGCTGCTGGATCCGCACCTGTATGGGATCCTGGTGCTTTCAAGGCGAGGACTTTAGCTACTAGGCCACAATGCTGGGCGCAGTAGGCTTTTATTTTCCAGATCTATCTGGGGACTGGAGTAGCACTAGTCTTCCATTGGCTCCATGTTATTTCAGACATTCTATGTGTACTCTTTCCTTTTTTTCCCCCTCCTCCTCTAATTTTCATTAATTTGAGAGGCAGAGAGAGTGAAAGTGAGTGAGCAAGTACTCTGATCTGTTGCTTCATTCCTCAAATCCTTCCAGGGGCCCCAGCTTGCCAGGGCAGAAGTTCACTTCTGCTCTCACATCTGGAGAGCAGTTACTTGAGCTATCAACTGCTTTCCAGAGTTTACACTAGCAAAGGAAACTGCAGTTGGAACCAGTTGTGGGTATGGAAGCTTGCCACTCCTATGTGAGACTAGTCTTAACTGCTAGAAAAACAAAGTTTTCGTGCTCTGCTGGTAAAGAAATGGGGAAAATTAAGGACCCTAGGCTCTGTTCATGGTACTATTCATTGTAGTTCTGCCACATCCCACTTACACCTTTTTAAGTAATCCAATTAGTAAATAAAATTTCCTTTAATTGGAATAATTGACTTCCTGTTGGGTCTCTGACTAGTACACAGTGGCCAGAGCCTCATAACTTAGTCCATTTTGTCAAAAACCAGGATACATTAGTCTTTTGGTCAAAATGTTTGTTTCCTGGCTGCCATGTATATTTCCTTCTTTCTTACAGAATGAAATCTTTCATTCCTCTATTCTATCTTGATATATATTTTTGGTCTTTCTTTCTCTGTTGTATGAATTCCAAATAGAGCTTCAATTTAAATTTCCTTTCCTTACAGTCTAAAGTACTAATACAGAAATCCCAGGAGTGGAAAAACTCTTGCTTTCTAAGCTGATTAGGCTTTAAATGCCATCAGAGCTAGTTAGGCCCTCAGAGCAAAACAAGTGGTCATGCTGTGTGTTTTACTCCCCTAATGCTGAAACTCTTTTCTTTGATTTTTTTTTTGTTTGTTTGTTTACACTCTGGCACCATGCAAGGAAGAAGAGAGTAGTACGGTATATAATGATCTTTTAATCAGGTCATCCTTTTTTTATGTGAGGATGAAGGGGAGCATTAAAAACAGGAAACAGGTGTGAACTTCTTTTAGAGGCAGCTTATATTTAATTTGATCGTTTAAACTTGTGACTTTATTTTCTAGTAGTTACAGGGTTACATCTCAGATCCTTGAATGGCATTCAAGCTTTGCCTTCTGGGTTCTTTTTCTTTGTTTGCTTTTGCATTTCTTCTTTCAGTTCTGTAACTTCAATGGATTATGTACTTTTACCACCCAAAATTGATTTTCTTGCTTCTATTCATTTGCTTATATTTCATGTTCTGCTGGAAAGTCTGCAAGTGTGAAGTCCAGGCAAAGAAACAAAATCCTACTTAGTCTTAAAGGTTTTAATTCATCAGTTAATTTATCTTGTGAAACTGTAGTGTTCCCATAATTAGGATTCTGTTTTCACTGATTCTGAAGTATTTTATCTGTTAGGAACTTTATTGTGGTTTACTTTTTTTATGTTGGTGTGTGTTCTGTGTGCACAGGCACACTTGCTCTTCTGAAGACTGAGCATTTCAAAACAGAAGATATAATAATCGTTTTTAAAATCTGATCTTTGCTTGTGTACTGTAGATTCTTACTAAAAGCATGCTAAGAAACTCAATAAGCAAATAAGTATACAAGCAATGTTGATTCACTTGGTAAAATTTACTCAGGATCTCTCATTTGTGATGAAATCTGTTTCTTAGAACTTTGTATTAAATATATATCTAGTATTAATATAATACTCAGACTGTTTAAATTGTAAATAGACTGGTCAGTTTTACATTCCTGCTTTGCATTATTTCACATTTTTGGGGGGGTTTAAAAGTAAATTTTTCACAAAAATGTAATTCATGTATAAGAAATTAATGAAATACATTGCATTGTTAGGGAAATTAAAACTATGCTCATGTAAATATGAACTTTTAAAATATTTTCACTAAATTCTTAGTCATTACTTGAATTTTATTGTGTAAGAAATGCTATTTATATGTAATTTTCATCGAATTTATTTAAGAGAATAACTGATATTCTTTTGTTTCAGCTAAGCCATTTACTTCTAAAGTCAAACAAATGCGATTACATAGAGAAGACTTTGAAATATTAAAGGTGATTGGTCGAGGAGCTTTTGGGGAGGTAAGAGATTATTTTATATAAAGTCTGCTGTTTTAGAAGGTATATTTTGCTGTTGTGAAAGAATTTAACTGAAACATTATTTACTTGGTCTTGCAATTGATATGGTTGATCAGGAAATAGGAATATATTGCTTTTGAATGAAATATTTCTGCCTGGGATTTTTTTCTAAGATGCTGCTTAATTTCACATATGCTTCTTATTTCCATATAAGTGTATGTTTTTGGATTTTTTTTATTACATTAATTCTGTTTGTCTTTCTGTGTTTCAGTACCACATTATCTTAAATTACTATAGTTTATAAGAAGCTTTTATATCTAGCAGTAATTGTGTTCTGCCCTTCTCAGTCCTGGACCCACTCACTCCCCTTCTCCCATTGTATTTTCCTGGTATTTTATTTTAGTGGAGGTATGGAGGAAGAGGGGAGAAGAATGACATGTGCCAGCATACAAGCAGAAAGTTCATGTTACTGATCTCTTATCAAATGCCCTCAATGGCTAAAGTTGGACTGGGACCAACTAGACTTAGGAAATAATTAAAGTCTTCCATTTGAGTCATAGGAGTCCAACCACTTGAGGCATGTTGACACCATTGCCTCCCCAAGTTCCCATTAAAAGGAAGCTGGATGTAGGAGTTGGGGCTGATTATCAAACCCGTGTGAGATGTGGGCAATTTTTTTTTTGAGGTCTTTTGAAAGGCAGAATTAGAGAGGGAAGAACAGAGAGATACCTTCCACCTTACATTTCACTCTACACATGGCTGCAAGGGCAAGTACTGGGTCAGTCCAAAGCCAGATCTCCCACATGGGTGACAGGAACCCAGGCACTTGGACCATCTTCCATTGCTTTCTCAGGCCATTAGTAGGGAGCCTGATGGGAAGTGGAACAGCCAGGACTTGATCTGATGCTCATGTGGAATTCTGGCATTGCAAACAGTGGCTTTAGTTGTTCACCACAATGCTTGTCCCAGATGTAGGCATTTTTAACTGGACTTTTAACTGCTAAGCTAAATATCTCCCTCTTATTTTTTGCTGTCAAATTTAAAGATTTCCACTGAACACATAAATATCCTATATCTGTTGGAATTTGGTTTAGGACTACACTGAAACAGGAGGTAAATTTGTAAATAGTAATAACTCATTGGATTAGTTAATTCATGAGAATGGAATATTCTTCCATTTATTTAAGGCTTTTTGAATTTTAATTTTCATTCAATCCAGAGGATTTCTACATTTTCAGCAACTTATTCCTGGATTTTTAATGTTCTTGATGTTATTTTAGCTAGAATTGTTAATTTTAACATTTATTTTAAGAAAGGCAGAGTTAGGGAGGGGAGAGAGAGAGAGAGAGATTGATTCTAAGTTAGATCTGAGTTAACTTTCACCCACCCGTAGGTCCACTTTCCAATTGGTTCTTTTGGGTCTCCTTCAAGGGCGCAGAGGCTCAAGTACTTGGGCTTTCTGCTGCAGTGTCCCCAGGTGTGTTAGCAGGGAGCTAGTTTAGAATTGATGCAACTGGGGATAGAATTGGCACCTACATGGTATGCTTATACTACAGGCAGTAACTTCACCTGCTTTGATACAGCACTGGACCCTAAATTTCATTTTCCAGTGGTTTTCCTTAGTTAACAATATACTTGAATTTTCTGTGATTTCATTAAACAAATCTTGTTTCATTACTTTTACAGGTATAAGTTGTGTTGAATGTTAGTAAATGTTCTGTTTGCATTTTCTAAGACAGGTCTTTCCCTTGACTGTGTAAATCTGTTTGATTCCACTACTTTCTGTTGAAGTGCTGTATGATATTTGCATCACTGAAATGATCCCAGTACAGTTGTATTGTTCTTATTATTTATCAGTGGGTTTGGTGTTCTATTTCTCTCTTGTCTTTTTTTTGAACCTCTTTGCTTCCATGTTCTTGAGAATAACTTTGCTATATTTGAAGTTCTGATCAAACTTTAGTGTCTCAGGCTGGTTTAGTAAAAGGAAGTGTTTCTTTATAAGAATTTTTGAAAAATTTTTTCCTTATATGATTTCTAGGCCTTCTTTTCATACCTGTTTCAGCCTGCGTTTAGGCATAGATAACAAATTTAGTATGTCAAATTTTCTTTTTTTTCCCCTCTTTATAATGTGAAAAAAATGTCATGTATTTTTCACATACATGTATTTTTCACATACTTCCTAACCGATCTTTACTCCTTCGTGTGTTCCCACTCTCCCTCCTTTTTCCTTTCTTATTCTTTAATTTTTATAATGACATACTTTGAGTTTATTTTTTTATCACGGCTGAATCTTACACAAAATAAAGCATTCAACAGGCTGCCCTTTTTGATGAGTATAGATGAGGTATAAATAGTCAAATCTCATAATGTCTATTTTGCTCATATACATTACATTTTTTAGTGCTGTGTGTATCAGTTATCACAGATAAGGGAGAATTGATATAAAATTTGGCTTTTTGGGACTGGCTGAGCATATTGGTTACCAGTTTCATCCATTTTTTGCATAAGACAGGATTTTTTTTTAAACTGCTGAGTTATATTCCAGAGTGTGTGTATACCATATCTAGTTATTAGGTGATTGACATCTGGGTTAATTCTGATATGTCATATTTTCATTATTGTTTTGCTTAAAATACATTGTGGCTTCAAATGTGATTTCAGATTTGTATTATTTTGTTTTAATCTGTGAATTTAGGAATTTATTTCTAAGTATTTGGAGGGTTTTATGGTTATTTTTGAATTAGCAAATTCTATTTTTTTGCCTGAAAAGAAAAGTATCTTTTAGTTACATGTCATCAGTTTTTTGAGGTAATTTTACATTTCTTTTACTGAGCTATAAAGTAATCTTAAAACAATCAGAGATTGTATATTGGGTAATTATAATCCTTTGAAATGTGCTGTGCAGTATTCTGTATATCAATTAGGTAAGATTTATTAATCTTTAAAATTTTCGTATCATATCTTTGCTGCACGAGCTATTGTTTCCTGAGAGAGGATTTGTTTATTTTTCTGTTTCTTTCAATTTTGTCTTTGATATATTGTTATATAACCTGGTGGTGACTATTATGGTATGTTTCCCATTATTTCAGCAATGCTTTTTGACTTAAATTTTCTTTAATTTGATGTTAGGATAGTTACTGTCTGTCATTTTTTAGTACTTGTTTTAAATGTCGTGTCTTACCCATTTAGTTCCAGCTTTTTATATTATAACAATATAAATTATAAAACCATATTATTCTGATCTTGTGTCTTGGTTGGATCATAATGAGCTCACATTTAATATAATACTTACTTTTGTTTTTATTTATCTTGCTCATTTTGTAGTTGATTTCTTTTTCTTGGATTATGGAGTATTTTACATGATACCCCTTTGCCTTTTTCTCCCATTAGTTTATATAACCTTTTTAAAAAATAGCTAATCCCCAAAGACTATTACTTGGCATCCCTGGTAAACTTGTATTTAACCAGTTCCCATTTGCCCAATCTGTATCTTTGTTTTTGTCATTGCTCTCATGCATTTCTATTTTATATATGTATTTTTGGACTAATTTATTTTTATTGGAAAGACAGATTAGATTTATGGAGAGAAGGAGAGACAGAAAAAAGGTCCCTCCATCTGCTGGTTCACTCCCCAGATGGGTGCAATGGCTGGAGTTGAGCTGATCTGAAGGCAGAAGTCAGGAGCTTCCTCTGAGCTTCCCACATGGATGCCATCTCCCCCTGCCTTGGAACATCCTCTACCACTGTTCTAGACCTCAAAGGCAGTTGGATGGGTGGAAAGTGGAGAAGCTGGGTTCATTAACTACGTCCATATGGGATCCTGGTGCCCATTAGGTGAGGATTTAGCTATTGAGGCATCATGCTGGCCCAGCAGAATTTTTTTTTTAAGATGTATTTTATTTTTATTGGAAGGACAGATTTACAGAGCAAAGAAGAGGCAAAGATCTTCCATTCACTGATTCACTCCCCAGATGGCCATGATAACCAGAGCTGAGCCTATCTGAAGCCAGTAAGCAGCAGCTTCTTCTGGTTTACCACACAAGTGTAAGGTCCCATGGCTTTGGGTCATCTTCTACTGCTTTCCCAGGCCACAAGCAGGGAACTTGGTGGGAAGTGGAGAAGCTGGGACATGAACTGGTCCCCATATGGGATCCTAGCACATGGAAGGTGAAGATTCAGCCACGAGAGCCATCATGCTGGGCCCTTGAGCACTTTTATTTTACTTTAAATCACTTGGATATTTTCATTTCGTGAAGTATGCATTTTGTTATTTGGGGTAGCAAAGGCCATGTAGGCGAATTGTTTGACTTATTAGTATCTTTTGGATACCAGATCTTTGTTGGATATATACATGTGTGTGCATATTTTTTTTTTCCTGTGGTTGGATTTCCCCTCTCTGTGAGTGTTGTTTAGCTTTTTATTACTGTAGTGAAATTAGTATGGCAGGCTGCTTTGGAAAAAAGATGTGCATTTGATTCACTGTTTTGGAGGAATGGTGTCCAAACAGCTGCTTGGCTGTATCACTTTATGGGTATGAGCAAAACTTCATAGTAAAATAATGGGCTGCTTCTGAGGCTGCTGGGGACTGCGTTTTCTTTTCCATGAATGCTTTGTCCTCCTTAAGCTCCTGTTACCAGGTATAACAACTATCATGTGTTCCTTTTAAGTTTTCCCTACCTCCCAAGATTCTGAACTTATTTTTGTGGTGTGTTTTGGAAAAATTTAGATTAATTAATTTTATTTGAAAGGTAGACAGACACTTGGAGACCTTCTGTCTCCTAGTTTACTTCCAAATACTCACAAAGGCTAGAATGTGAGAAAGCTGTAGCCAGGAGACTGAAAGTCAAGCTGGGCTGACTACATGGTGGACCCAAGGATTTGAACCATCTCTTGCAGTGTCCCAGTGAGCAGATTAGTAGGAAACTGGCATGGTGGACTCAGGATTTGAACTATCACAGTTGGATTAGCAGGAAGCTGGATTGGAAGAGGAGGAACCTGGGCTG